TATAATGGACTTGTTCCTGTTCTCTAGCGGAGCAGGTCTGGCTGAATGATCTCTACCGGTCTTAAACCTGATTACTGTATCCCTCCTGGAGTACTCCATTGTTCTTAATATTCCTCTGCCCTCTCTCGTCTTTCTCTCCTGCCTCTCTCTTTCATCTCTCCTCTTCTTAGTTACATTCTCATTGTTTGTCCTCTTGCTGTGTTTACGTTCATTAGATCATGTTGGGAGGGAGGAGACGCTACATCAGAAAATATTCCTACACTGAGTGGCTATTCTTTCATCTTTTGCCTCTCCCCTCCCCTGCTCATCCTCTTCTCCCTCCCCTGATTCTGCCAGAGCTTCCTCCTGTGTGATCCTGATTAAGTGAAAATAAATAAAAAAAAGCTACCCCGTCCCGTGGTGTGCCGAGTTCATGGTGGCTGACTCTGTCAAATATCACTCACTCAGATGACTAGATTCACTTAATGGATGTTTTTCTATCTTTTCCTCCTGGGTGCACATGGCTCTCCAGACTAGGCCTAGTTCTGCTTGGCCTGATCAATGGGTAATGGTCTCTGTGTTGGTAAAAATCGGACTCAATGCTGTTGACACGGATAGTTTGCCTGCTGGAGAACCAATCATGGCAGCGGTGGGAGCAAAGGACTATTCTTCTCTGCTGCTTTAAACTTTATCACATTATTCTATCACATTTTACGTGATATATATTTTGATTTTTTGTTTTAGTTGTTAGAACCTGACCGATTAATCGGCCAGCAGATAACATCTGCCGATATTAGCATTTCAAGTGACTATCGGCATTGGCTAATTTTATGAGCAGTTATGTTTCAGTCGAGTGACCATCTTGTCTTCATTATATATCTTTTCCACTACTGTTTGATAACAGCATTTAAGGGATATACGCAATACATGTGTGTATCTCTTTCTCTAAAGACAAACAAAGATCAATGACAGATATCGGCCGATTTATCAGCATCAGATTTTTTATCTGTCTGGTATTGATGTCGGTATCGGCCCCCAAAATCCAGCATCGGTCAGACCCTAACAAAAATGTTAAGTTTGCTTTCTTTTCTATGAGATGACACCAGGACATTATTCTCTCTCCTCTCCCTCGTCCTTCCCTTTAGGTATTAATCTCCCCCCCGTTTCCAAGATTACAGAGAAGACGAGGCAAAAAGCGTCTCTTTACTTGAGCTTCCAAAGGGCACACAGATCCGCAGCCACAGCCTGTGACATTTTCCATTTTTTTCAATACAGATTTTGAGAAAACAAGGGCAGAAATTGTGAGAAATGAAATGGGTTTTAACTTCCACAGAGGCAGAAAAGAGCAGTGTGTGTGTGTGTGTGTGTGTGTGTGTGAGAGTTCGGAGGTGTGTACAGCTGCAGTGTGCCTGCTCAGCACTGTGCTTCTCATTCCCTCTTGTTCCTCTGTCTTCGTCTCATCAAACCTGCCTCCTTTCTGCCCTCCAACAACTCTCAAGGTTGAGGTTTTTTCTTTTTTTTTTTTTTTTGTCTTTTCCTGACAGATGTCTGGTTTAAACACTCAACCCAGATATTATGATCTCTTCCTGAGAGTGTCTGTGTTTTTGTTCCTGTCTGTACACAGGCACCCCCCACAGGTAAATAGACAGCTCTGACAGAAAGTGCTGTTTATGTGTGTGTGCGGTTTGCTGAGTCAGGCTGTGGATGACACACACTGAGCTGATAGTTGTCTGAAGGGGGCGTTACATGGGATATATTTCCACCCCTCATATCACCACTTACCACTAATATACCCAAAGTGACAAGAACAGTTTTTCATTTCATACTGTATCCCTCTCTTTAGTCTTTTTTTGTAGCTTTTGTCTAACCCAAGATAGTTTTGTTGTCCTCCTTTTTTTTTTTTTTTTTTCAAACAGCCTTTTCTGCCAGGGTGGACAGCTAGACAAATGATTCCATCGTCTGTGCAAGGCAGGGGGTAATTTTTAGGTGAGCACAGCGCTTCAGCAAAGACTTGCTGCACCGAAATTAGAGGTTGTCAAATGCCGCACGTCTTCACTGATGGCCCAGCACGGCCCCCTTATGTTAATGTGGCATTTCAGCAAGAGGAAACAGAATTAGAAGGAGGAAGGGGGGGGCTGCTGCTCCTTGCTTGCTTGCTTGCTTGCAGTAGTTGTTGTTGGGTAGCTTTGTCACATGCACACACTTCCTCTTTTTATTTTTTCCCTGAAGAAGGGGGAGCAGACGCAGCATCCAGTATACTTGCTTTTTGTTGTAAAGTACGTGCGGAGAAGTGATTTTCTAACCTACAGAACACTGGCTCCCCCTTCCCTCCCATCATTGATGGCTCCTACACACATGCTTAGCCCACCAGTGGTCTGTTAAATAGCTCTTCTGTGTTTAATAATGTTAGCTTGAAGTGACACGGCAAGTGCGGTTTGGAAGATTTATAGGAAGTAGGGACATTTCATTTTCCCTGAATGGCTTTTAATAGTGATCTCCTTCCCCAGAAAACTATCAGTGATCAGGCCGTGGATGGAGTTACTTTGAGCTGTTAAAGAGATGTTTTAGGCCTTCTTCACACACAGTCATATGCAGTTAACGTCCCTCGATTCCACATTGCAGCTACAGCCTGCGCCATGCTGCCCCGACATCTTCTATATTTATGATATGTCATTGGTCAAGCCCCTCTGTTTTCACTCAAAGTCTGGATGTGGCTGGTTAGGGCTGATGTCATCTGTGCTGCGGCGGGTCAGATACCATGAGGATGATTTCATGTTAAGGGAGGACAAGGGAGTATCTGATTGGACCGAGGAGTGTTGAGGTCATGTCGTTTGGGAAGCAGTCGCTCTGGGCTGAGGCTCCTGCTGGCTCGCTTGCTTGAAACTTGTCTTGCTAGGTGTTTTTTTTTTCCACACAGCTGCAGGCCAGATGTTTATGTTTTAGCTTGTCAGTGTCCATAAGCCCATCAATCACACATTTGTCAATCTGTCATCGACAGTAAAATATTTCAGCTGGACAGGAAGTCCCTGTGACTCATTTCAGGTCAAATCATTTTAACTGTATTTTTCTTAGCCACTTAAAAATTGGTAAGTGCCCAATTATTAACTTTAAACTAAGACAAGACAGGCACAAAAACCTAATGATGTGAGTTGAATCCACCTTCAATTTTGGTCTCACTGTGAGGTTCAGGCTTCGAGGTAGGGCTGCTCAAATTCGGCGAAAATCTTAATCATGATTCATTTGATATCAAGATGAGGATTATTAAGCATGAATCATTGATTTGAAAACATCTGGATCACATGCATTCATAAAACTTTAGTACACCTAACACACTAGGTGAACCTGCGGAAAGGGAGAGTTTTTTGAGTGACGCTCCGCCGCCAGCACCGAGGGGCCGCGCGGCCTCGGGTGCGGGGATCTCAACCGGTAATGATCCTTCCGCAGGTTCACACATATTCTGAACTCGATGAAATACAAGGAATAAATAAGTGAAAATGTAGAAATATATCACAATGACACATATGTGTGTGTGCATGTCTGACTGTGTGTGTATGTGGAGCGCCTGCTGTGCCGTGCTTCCGCAACATTGAAATGCAAAGTGAATTCACAGAGAGTGAACACCAACATTACACCTCATTGAATCAGTTAGAATGTATGAAGGCGTGATGACAGCTGGGCTTAGTTACAGCACTTTCATTTAAAAAAAAAAGCAGTCTGAAACATTTACCACACATGACAAAAACCTGTGGACGAAACGAGCACAACATGGTAAGCCATGTGCTCATGCAGCACAGTGATCGTTCAGTCTTGAATATCTTGTTTTCATGATCGTGGAAAGCAGAAATCATAGCTGAAATTGAACCTTGATTAATTTCCCGGCCCCACTTCGAGGTCAGGCATGCTCCGCTAAGGGCAACTTTAGTTGAGTGTCAGGTTCCCCTGCTGGAGTTTAAAATAAAACTCTGAACTGCTCTGAAGTCTCATGAGACATGGAAATAGTGCCTAACACCCGCCCCCGCTCCACCCCCACACACATCACGCCTCAAGGTGTCACAAGTGCGACCATTTTGTTTCAGCTGTTTCACACTTGAGGCAGAAATCTTTGGGTGAACATTTTACTGATTTACTTTGTGTTTCAGCTGTCGTATATTTTGATCTTTACTTTGGAAAGTTAGAAAGTGCAACTAGTTTGTGCCCCCTGATTAATGGGTGTTACAACTGCAGCCATTCACAAGTACACACACAAACACACACTGGATGAATGGATGCTTTATTCAATGACACAGCATTCCTCTGGTTTGTGAATCTGTGTGAGCGGCAGACTCAGTCAACGTGCCTGACGTAGAGTTATGTGTGTATGTTTGAAAAGGTGGTTGGAGCTGAAGCCGCTGTCAGCTGTGTGTGTGTGTCCGTGCGAGAGACGGAGGTCCATTAGTTTTATCTGACAGAAGGATCAGATCAGAAGGCATGTACCCGAGCGATTCTGTGCGTCTCTTCTCCCCACCTGCCCGGCTGCCCACTTGTCACAGGTTACTCTATTAGAGAGCAGCCACTGGGGAGTGGTAAGGAGAGACAGGGGGCTTAACCCCTAAATAATGCAGCGCTTAACTTGTCTGGAGCATATATAGAATAAATCTTGAAAAACTACCCATCTTCTATTGCTTTCTGTGCAGTTTGCTCTGAAAAAAAAAAAAACATTTCCTGCAGCTACAAGAAGCACCCATGCTCATCTGTCGCACATTGTCACACTTGCAGGCTGTGACAGTTTGTGTTTTTATGTCCAAATACAAACTGTCAATAAATGACAAACAAATGTTCAAGTTTTTACTCGAGGCAATGGACACATTTCTTCTGCCATGTTTATTTATTTTTTTACTACCACAGTTTATATGCTACATTAACCCTTTGCCTGGAAGTGGAAATTAATTGGACGTTGATATAGATATATCTATTAAAAAAATAAACATTTGATATTGTTGCCGGGCAGCTGCTCACCACAGTGTGTGTTTTGTGTTTTTCAGAGATCAACAGAGTGCGTAAAGACATGTACAGCGACACAGTCAATGGCCTTGTGGAAAGACACCCTCTGGAGCTGCCCGAGCCTATGGGACCCATCGTCCACCTGCAGGAAAAACTGTTTGTGCCTGTCAAAGAGTACCCCGACGTGAGTAGCTGCTTACTTCATTTCACACTGTCCAAGCTTAACACACATGATATCGTGTGTCAGAATATGTTGTTGTCTAGCCTTGTGTGTTGACATGCATATGAAAATGAAGTCACACACAAGCACATACAAGCAGAGAGTCGGTCTTTTGCCTGAGGCCATGTGTCTTTGTGGTGTGTCATCACAGGAATGGCGGCTGCTGATAGATCAACAATCTGTCCGCTCTGAGAGCATGCATGCTGTATCTCTCTTTTTCTTTCTGTTGTACATTCCTACTGACCTCTTAGTGCGTCACACACACTCACACAACTCTTCATATTATTTGTCTTTTAATATCCCCCCTTGCTTTTCTATACTATAGTTTTTAATCAATAGTGACTGGGCTTGTAGCATGTAAACAAAGTTGTTAATGGACTGCCGTTAAAGAGGCATCAGGTGGCAGTCTAAGTAAGTCCTGGTCTCAGGAAAACATGGCCTGCTGGGGTGTTTATGGGCCAGCTCAGTGGTGGATTAGTACTGAGAGGGAGAGAGAAAGAGGGGATTGGGAAGGAGGAGTGTCATGAAAGTAAAAAATAATAAATATTCAGACAAATGAGATGGAAATCTTTTGTACCTACCACTCATAAGGGGCTGGTTGAGAAAGCTTTTCTTACATTGGAAAAGTCCACACACACAGTACATGAGCAAGTGTTCCTAACAAAACTACAAATAACTATGGGGGATGTTTTTTGTACATCATCAGTGTTCTGATGAATATATTACTCTACATGTAGGTTTTTGATTTGCTGTTTTAATTCGTCTTAATCCTCCCTCTGCTTTACTCCATATAACCTGCCCACGTTGCATTTCTTTTTGTCTGTGAGGGAAACACTATAATGAGTCAGTAAAAGATGTTTTACAAAGAATTACACGTGTGCATGTGTCTATTATATGCAGAGCTCTTGAGGAAAAGTGTGTGTGTAAGGTTTTGACCACGGTTGGTCAGTCACCTCCCCGTCCTCGTGGTAATCTTTGACACACACACATGAATGCTTGTGTCGCGTCTTGAGGAGGAGCAGCGATTCTCCTCGTAATCCCAGCAGCTTGCAGAGAGGAAATGAATGGAGGGAGGTGACGAAGGATAAGGCACACTGTAGAGCAGGGCAAGGCCCGGCCAGGCGTGGACTGCATTTTCACCCTGACAGAGTTGATAAGGGGGCACCAGGGACTAGCTCGGATTATCTTAGCTTCAGCCGACCCAGCCAGTAAGCTCGAGCTGAATCAACTGGCGACGACACAGTTTTTGACCTTTCATCTTAAGGGCAGGACTTCAGATCTTTGAACTATCCCCCTCTGACCCCTTTGATTTATTTTTCTTTATCTAGCGGCCCTTTTTATTTCCATAATCATGATTTCAATCACATTTTAAAGAGAAGTTAATTTGAAAGCTGTGCAAACGTACTGTAGTGACGATCTTTGGGCAAAAACAAAAATATGCATACACATATTCTCTGTAAGGAACCCTCTGGTTGGTTGATTGGTTATGCTGTGCTATGTGTGGTTGATTGATTTTAAACTGTTGTTGGTCTCTTGTCGTTGTGCTGCTCAAATCTGTTGTGTGGGTGTTTAGGTCGGTGGGTTTTGTGCTTCCCGTAGACATGTCCATATATGTTTTATAGAAGGGTGAGGGAGGTCTGTGAAAATGTGGCTGTAAAGACACCAGTGGAGTGACTCTCTCTCTCTCTCTCTCTCACACACACACACACACACACACACACACACACACACACACACACACACACACATACATGGACACAGACAGACTATATAAATTGTGGCATCCTCAGTTGACCCTCGTGTTCCCTTCGCTCTGCGTGCTATGCAGCTCTGCGCCGTAACTCAGCACTGTGTTTACGAGCCGCCGCCCAAGACACTAAATTAATTAGGCTTCCCCCTGGTGGCCGAGATGACTCGCTGATGACCTTAGCGGCCGCAAATTTACACACACACTCAAAATGCACGCAAGCATGTGCAAAGAAGAGACAAATACACATTCATGGTGATTCACAAACGACACATATTTCAATTGGACATTTAATTCTGGAACACATACACACCCGCCTTTCCTCCAAGTGGGGGCATTAGGTCTGCGGAAAAACAGGAAAATGTCATATAGCCATGTTATATATAGATGTGATGACTGGAACCAGGGGAAATCAGCAGCAGTGCTAGAGATGGAGTCTTTCTTTTTTCTTTTCCTGCTTTCAGAAAATAAACCTGTGTAAGACGGTGTTTATGAGCAAATTTGACAAAAAAATGCTTACATTAAAACATGGTTGTTTGCACGGTTGGGTGATGTCTAGGTGCTGCTGATTGTAGGAGATCTATGTATTTAACCTCAATGCTGCTCAAATACCTGAGTGTTTTCTTCCATGGAGGATAGAGAGTATAGTTATTTAGCAGAGGGGGGATGATGATGTAGGATCAGCTATAAAAGGAACTGAGGAAAGAAATGAAGGAAGAGAAGAAAAAATGCTACTTCCTTTTCCTATCTGCCTGTTGCTAAAAGGAGAGGAAACTTTAATGATGCTTATTAGACTTGGGAATATTTCCCCCCCTCTCATATTTCCGTCTGATTTCCCAGATTCCCCCAATAAAAAAAGAAAAGCATAGTGTGTGTGTGTGTGTGTGTGTGTGTGTGTGCGCGCACTTGAGTATCCGTTTGTGTGATGCTGATGCAATTCTGGTTTCTTCCAAGAAAGCAGGCATTGATGGCCCCGGTCTGTGTGATTTTGTTCTTGGCATCATCTCACCTGCCATGGAAGATTTATCATCGTTCATACTCGCGCCGCCCCCCCTTCTCCTCTGTTTTTTCACACTTCTGTTGTCATTTTGAAACACCTAAAATTTACTTACCTGCTTCCCGGCTTCCACTTTCCACAGGCGAGGTCAGACTCCCTCAGTGGGGCTTTTCTGTCCCACCTAGGTGTCGCCTGCTTTCGTTTAACTGGTAGATAATTAGATTGTCCTGGTGCCCGGATGCAGTGCAGCACGTCAATTCTTCCAGAATAACTTGCCTCGCCAGAATGCCTCCACTCTAATTCCCCTAAGTGTGTCCCTCCTCTGGCCTTTGTGAGCCCCACATTTGTCTGTAAGTGTGTGTTTGTGCTTAGCCCTGTGTCTCTATCACTCCGTCTGCCCGTGTGTCACCGCTCCCTCGCCGTTCTTCAAAGTCAGCCGTTTCCCGATGTCGTCAGTGGTGCAGAGCGCTGTGGAGCGTCTCCGCGGCGACTGCATCTTGACTGACAGCTGAGTCGCAGGCTATCTGATAACTTCAACCTTCAATTAAACGCTATCTGTGGCTGCGTCCTCTGCCGAGCACACGCGCTCACACACACATTGATAGGCGGCTGACTGACAGCTCAGCATGTCATTTCCGTTTGACCTTCAGGCATCTGATAGGATGTGTGACATGTCTTTTAACTGTGCCTCTGTCTCCACTTAAATCCCAGTGCATTTGTGTTTGCATACTGTTAGCTTGCTTGTGGGCAGGTCACACGTAAGAAATGCTTAGGTGTAAAAAAAGCAAACACAGACACCACCTTTGCTGTGCTGACTCCACGAAATGGGACGCTCTGTTGGAAGTTAGCTGCGGTGCAAATGCTCAACACGACTGTCTGGACTCTTCTCTCAAGAAGTGGACAATCAGTTATTTGGTTATATACATAGGTCTGTGAAAACAGCTGTGCAGTACAGATGTGCTGTGTGTTTGATGGCATAATGTGCTTAGCTCGTGTTTCATGAATGTCATGGTACTTAAGATTCTTTGCAAATAGAATCCTTTAAAACCCCAAACACCAATTTCCCCCTCTTCTTCTCCACCTGTCGTTTCCAAACTATCAATCCTCTGAGGAGCAGATGTGTGATCCCTCTGCGAAGTCCATATTTTTTGGTTATTAGTGCGTGTTCTGAAGGCTAATGAATCCAATTGCACAGTGCTAGTAAATCGTCTGCTTGAAAAAGATCAATGCCGGTTCTGTTGGCTTCGGTTGTAGCAGACTGGGGATTGCATTTTTGTTGTTGCCGCTCATCGGTGCAATAAAGAAAAAGTACCTCATCAACTTTGAACACATGAAGTTTAAACCTGTCATGGTGCTTTTTCCAGGTGAGGTCAAAACGCTCCAGCAACACTTGTAGTATGAAGATCACACGTTGGTCTAATTTGAGTTCTAGCCTGAAGTTGTGCCGGAAAGTCCCGCTCTGCTTCTATTTATTGTCCTATTTCTAAGAACCAGAACCCTTATAATATTTGATGTATTTAGTGAAATCAGGAAGTGAAATAAAATGCAAATACAGATGAAAGGATAGAAAAGATAACGTGTGGTTTGCTACATTTGATGAGGGTGTAAAAATGACCTTAATTCCTCAATGATTGTTTCACTTACACTGCAGTGCACAGAGAAAAAAGGTGAGTTTCAGAGACCGAGTGTCCCAGGCCTCTCCGTTTCACTGCAGTAAAAACTGCCCGGACCAAACCGGCCAGTTCCCTGCACGCTGAAAGTCATTAAGCTTGTTCTCATGAGGGTGTCATCACTTATCATGCCAGCTCCTGATATCCTTCTGACCCCCTTAAGTCATTAGCAGCCCTGGAAATGTACCGGCCCACACCTCGCCTCGCCTCGCTGATGAGTGGCAGAGTGGAGGATTTTGATATCTCTAGCTATCCAACCATGCGCGATGATAATTTGATGAACGGATGGTTTTTCTAGTTAGCTGTTTGATGAGGAGGGTAATTACAATGAGGACTCTATTTGTTGTAGACGGTTTAACATGACGAAGGGCAACAGTGTAAGCGTTTGGATGTGTGTTTTAAATTGCTCTAATGATTGTTTGTATGATTGTGAAGTTGTGCTAGTTTACTGTTGGTGCACGGTGTTTGGTGCTTCCTCTGCATGTTTGACTCTGCAGTGATAACACTTAGCAGGGAGGGAGGAGAAAACACAATGAAAGAAATGAAGGAG